CCCCACTATCATGATCCCAATTCTACCTTACAAATCTAGCTAGGCCAGAGGGTGTACACTGGTACAGATAGGAACTGGAAACACAGGGAATCCAGGATGGATGATCCCTTCAGGACCAGTGGTGAGAGTGGTGATACTGGGAGGGTGGAGGGGGTGGTGGTGGAAAGGGGGAATCGATTATACGGATCTACATGTAACCTCCTCCCTGGGGGATGGGCAACAGAAAAATGGGTGAAGGGAGATGTCGGACAGTATAAGATATGACAAAATTATAATTTATAAATTATCAAGGGTTCATGAGGGAGCAGGAAGTGGGGGGAATGAGGAGCTGATGCCAGGGGCTTAAGTGGAGAGCAAATGTTTTGAGAATGATGAGGGCAACGAATGTACAAATGTGCTTGACACAACTGATGTTAAGTGCGGGTTGCGATGAGAGTTGTATGAGCCTCCGAGACTCCACAGAGGCTCCACAGAGGCAGGCTGCCTCGTCTTTCTTCCTCACAACGGTGGCAACAGAAGGCTGGGCCTTGCGGCTAGCAGCCAAGACCTCACCTACTGGGAGGGCTTGTTCACACGCAGGTTGTTGGGCCAGGCTGACTCCAAACCGGCTGCCATCGAGTAATTCTGGCTCATAGCGACCCTCGGGGCCAGGGGGGAGCTGCCCCTGTGGGTTTGCGAGACTGTCACTCTTTACGGGAGTTGAGAGCCTCGTCTTCCTCCCTTCCAGCGGCTGCTGGCTTCAAACTGCTCGCCTTCTAGTTGGCAGCCCAGCGATGGCAAGTGACCACTACACCACCAGGGCTCCCTAGTCTTACCCCAGGGATCCCGATGTAGGAGGTCTGAGGTGGGGTCACAGATCGCTGGTGATGCAGTGGTTCCGTGATGCAGTTGGGCCGCTAACTGCAAGGCCAGCAGTTCAAAACCACCAGCCGTTCCGAGGGAGAGAGCTGAGGCCCTCTGCTCTGTAAAGAGTTAGTCTTGGGAACCCACAGGGGCAGCCCTCATCTGTCCTCCAGGGCGGCTCTGAATCGGCTTGACGGCAGTGAGTTC